ATGATGAGTTGCATGTTTCATCCAAAAACCCCAAACCCAGAATGGAACAAGTGTTTGAGGTTTCCATGGATATCATGCCTGAAGATATAAGCGATAATCCAATGTGCTTGTGGGGAGTCTTAGATGAATGTTTCCAAGTTACTCCAAAAGCAAAACTTAGACGAGTTGAGGTATCCTTCCGAAGGCTTTCCAATGAAGATCAAAAGTTGTTTGAAAAAGCAATGCAGAAAGAATGGAATTCTTGGATTGAAAATAAGGTTACTTCATTATGTAAGTCTAAGGGCATTCCCACTGAAAAGGTGATCAAAGCCCGATGGGTATTAACTTGGAAGAAAAGTAGCGACCCAGACGACCACACAAAGACCCCAAAAGCGAGGTTGGTACTGGTAGGTTGGCAAGACCCTGACCTGGGGAAAATCCAAACTGACTCACCAACCCTCAGAAAAGAAACAAAGCACTTGATTTTGTCGTTGTGTGCAGCCAAAAGATGGCGCATATGGGGTGCAGACATCAAAACAGCCTTTTTGTCAGGAGACCCATCCTCAAGAGATATCTTTTTCAAACCCCCAAAAGAGATAAAAGAGTGGATGAGCCTAGCTGACGATGACCTTTACCGTCTTGAAAAGGCGGCATACGGTTTGGCTGAAGCTCCAAGAGCTTGGTTTTTGCGTCTCTCAAGAGAACTCAAATCAGCTGGCCTTACTGTTTCGCAGCTGGATCCTTGCCTTTACAGCTTGCGTAAGGGATCCAAACTGTTGGGTGTCTGTGGAGTTCATGTTGATGACCTCATAGGTGGAGGTGAACCCGAAATGGATCAGGTGTTAAAAGATCTCAAAAAGAAACTACCCTTTGGTGACTACCGAACATACACCATTAGATATACAGGAATAGAGATCCGTCAATGTCCCAATACACATGCTATTGAGTTAGGTCAAGAAGCATACATTGACGCGCTTGAACCAGTTTGCACCAAAAGCCTTGGTACAGCCAGCACTCCATTCACAGATGCATCCATGATGCGAACATGCGCCGGTCAGTTAGCTTGGGTTGCAACGTCAACCAGACCAGACCAAGCGTTTCTTGCCAGTTACTTGCAAGGGATCCAAGATAAAGGTACCGTAGCCCATGTTCAAATGTACAACAAAGCCATCCGTGAGATGAAAGTGAAAAAGATATGCCTGCGATTTCCTGCAGGAATCGACATCGCCGACTGGCGAATCCTTTGTATCTCAGATGCTGGATGGGGAACCCGTGCAAATGGCGAGAGTCAAGGAGGATACATCCTTTGTTTGACAACACCTGCAATGTTTGAGCGCCGCAGAACAACCTGTTGGATCATCGACTGGCAAAGCAAAAAGCTGCGTCGAGTTGTGAGGTCCAGTGTAGCTGCCGAAACATTGGCAGGACAGAATGGATTGGATGGTATAGAAGCTTTTCAAGCCTTGCTTGCCGAAACAATTCATGGCATGACCCCTAGAGAATTCCGAGATCAAATCCCAAAAGTCCCAGCCGGATTGGTAATTGATTCAAAAGGGTTCTTTGATGCTGTCACCAGAAGTTGCTGCAGTCAAGCAATATCACTTGAAAGACGTTTGCAAATCGATTACGCCATTGCCAAGGAAACAACAGTGAACCAGAATATACTTGTGTTTTGGGTGAATAATCTCCGAATGAGTGCTGACTGTTTGACGAAGTTAAAAGGGGATACCAAACCACTTTATGAAATTCTTGATGGTGGGACGTATGAGATAACTATATGCCTCCAATCAGGCAAAAAGGAAAAACAGAAAGAAGCGGACTGACCAGGGTCCAACAAGAGGGTCCAAACAATGCCGAGCAAGCTCAGTCAGTCTGAGCATCCAGTTTTCCTGCATGCCATGTTTTTACCACTGGTGTTTTACATGTGTGTTTTGTATAGTGTATAACAATGCACAACCAGTGCATCTATCCGAAATGGTTTCGACCGTGCCGAAAGCCGAAGTTGCCACTTCATGCCACAAATTGCCATAAGCTTAAATGCCGGGTAATAGTGGGGATAGATAAATAAGATAATTAAATAGTGGGGACACTACTGCCAGGTCATGACGGAAAAAGCCGTGGTGTGACCGCCCTTGTGTCTCAAACCTAGCCAGCGCAGTGAACGTGCACAGCGGGTTAAATAACCTTGATTTGCTGCCAGCTTGTAAAGCTCCAATTGCCGAGTGACTCATGGCGATGGCTTCTCCTCAGAAAGTTCGCCGTGGCGATGATGATGCTTCGCAGTTTTCCGAGAAGCTCAACGGAAGTGAAATCCGAGCCCTGACTGGACTCCTCCATCGTGCTGTTGCTCATGGACAAGCTCAGATGGTGATTGAGACTTACCGTGGCTCCAGAGCTCCCAAAGATACCTATGTGCCAGCGACCTTGGTGGTGAATGAGTGCCAACAGATGACAGGTGGCAACATGTCCGATGCCGCAAAGCGTCAACGTGATGGTGACTTGCTGGATTGGGAGCAAGATGTTGAGAGCATCGTGTCCTATGGGACCGGTTCCGATCTTCCAGTTCCACTTCCCTCAGCCAGTGGAAATCCCTATGTGAGTGGTCCGTTGAAGAACCAGCCCTTCATGCATGTGAACGCAAAGATTCCCTTGCCAAAGGACATGTCCATTGTGGATTGGGGACGCACCGTCTGCACCATGGATAAGGTGAAGGACAAGAACCTTTGCTACATGGAGATGGCTACTATGGCTTCTTCGAATGATGACATGAACAGTTATCTGGAATGGATTGTGAAAACCTATGGAACTCAGGGATCAGGGAAGCCGAAAGGAAAGATCACGAAGGCCGTTGACCTTGCCATGTACCTTGAAGCTATTTGCTGGAAGACTCAGGTGATTGATGATGGAATTGCCTTCACTCGCCAACTGAAGTGAAGCTGCAGCGGAAAAGAAATGAAAGCCATTTGCCCCATGGAGGGCGTGTTGATTTTTGCAACCTGCCTGACTGAGGTGCTACTATGAGCACAAATCGAGAAGTGTAACGAAGTTTACATCCAAAGGTCAGACATAACATGTGTCAACATGTGGCTGCCATTTCCCTATCAAGGGCCCTTGGGCCAGCCTCTAATCGAGGTCTGGCAACGTTCAGCGTGGAAGAGAAAAGTGTGGCGCTTTTTGCGCAGCTGTGACACTTTCGTTTTATCACATATATATATATACATATATATATACATATATCTACACATGTATACATATACTTATATATATATATACACATGTGTATATATATATATGTATATATATATACATATATACACATGTATACATATACTTATATATATATACACATGTGTATATATATATATGTATACATGTGTAGATATATGTTTGCCACGGCGATTCAGAATATGGACACATTTCGTTCCGATGGCAAAACACTTTTACATTTTTCTTCTTGTCAAACAAATATCTCAAACATGTTTTTCATCCAGTGACATGTTTTAATCACAGAACATTGACTTTTTGTGCTGAACATATTTGAAACAAGAAACAAGAAACGACTCATTTTTTGTGTCCATTTTTTCGTGTATAAAAACTAGCTTTCACCTATTTTGATAGAATCTATATATATATATGTTCCTTTTTTTGGTTTTAATTCTTTATATAAACATTTTTTTTGACATAGTTTTTTTCTCAAAGAAAATACATTTTCTGCCATATAATATTTTCAAAGTCACTTTTTTCCCTCATTTCCATCTCTTGTCCCACCCGCTGTGGCGTCTCGGTGTTGTTCCCCCCTTGTCGTTCCCCGTTATGTTCCCCCATGTTGGGCATTGCTCAGCTGTTGTATCTTACCCATTCTGTGTGCCCTGTTGTTAGTCCTCTTTGTTGCGCTTGGCTTCCCCAGCTCAGAGATGCCTAGCCTGGAGGACCCCTAAATTTTAATTACTGGGTCCCGAACTAGTACACCCACCCCCAAATTAATGTTAAGCGGTGCCGAAGGACGGGGCGCCAATGATTTGACTCTACTGATTTATTTTCACAAAAAGAACGTAGTAAGGCGGAATCAGGACATAAAGATGATCATAACAGCATGGAAGGAACAGTTTCCAAAACGTTTGAAAACAACTATTATTCCAAAACATTCCAATAGTGATGATTTTGGACTAAGACGAGACCTGGAAGGCGCATTTTTTGTTTGGCAATTTTGTACAAAACCTTTATTTTGGCAGTTTTCAATGATCCTTACTTTCTATTTGTAGTGAGTAGTGAGTAGCCATTTCGGCTTCCATAGATTTCGATTTTGTAGTGCGTTTGGGTGCACCTTTTTGGATGGACTCGTATTCTGTAGACTCTGTAGACCCCTTTTCTGCGCAAAATCACCTACTCCCACCTTCACCCTGAATGAGCAAGAGGATAGTGTTAATATTTTTTGGCAAAAAAAAGAAGAAATTATTTGGGGTCCACCTAACCCAAGAAAAAATGGTAGTTCCCCCACTCTTGAATTATTTTGCCTGAGATTAGGTGGGTGGGAAGAGTGGGGGAAGTACTGCCGAGCAAATTCATAGAGGTACCTTGAAGCAGTAAGGGAACCAACTCCGGAGACCCTTTAGGAGGGAGTCATCAAAAAGAGGATACGGGTTTGTCTGAAAATAGTGTACCCCTACACCCAATGGTTAATGATCATTATCCCTACTAAATGGCTATAATTGGGGGTATACCCCATTTTCAGACATACCCATACATGATTGATATGATTGTCACCACTTTCTCAGTTCGAACATTAGCGATATAACCCGCTTTTGTCATATGAGTCATATGATGTCATTTCTTGGTTTGTCTGACCATCCTATTCCGCACTAAAATGGAGAACATATGCTGGGGTATCCCAGGTATCCCCTATTCTTGAGGCACACCCAGGTATCATCATATCTTAGTTATATGTGTTCCCAATCTCCTTATTAATACCCCCATCATGTGTATGTGAAATCTCCCCAACTTGTATCCAAGCAGTTCACGAGGCTTGCACTACAGCTTGTCCGGGCAGACCTTGCCAAAGGATGAGCGCTTGCAATGGCGCTTTGCCAAGTTCGCGGGGGCCCCGGCGATGGGTCCCGATGCCCTCCGCAGTCCATGGCTTGATGGGCGCCAGACATCACATTTTGATGTTTGGTCAGTCATGAGAGGTTGGAAAATCATGGAAATGCTTCTGTCAGATGAAGAGAATAGCCCAACATAGCCCAACATTCCACATGAAGCATGATATACCTTTTCGTTAAGGCCAATATCATCCAATATCATTTTTTAAACAGGTGGGACAGCCAAGTCATGCCAAGTCATGCCATAGCCCGGATTTTTCTTATGTCTTCCATTGGTTTTGAGGAAACCATGTGCAGCGACGCTGACAAGTTGGATGATAAAGCCATCTCCACTGCCAACTTGGCCAAAATTTACCCCTCGGAGAAGGACCGACTCGGTGATGGAGGTCTGTCAAGCCCGTTGATATGTTAGTTGATTGGTGAATTGGTTGTGGGTTCTACTGAGGATTCACTGGGAAAAAATGACATAATGTATCATAATGTGACATAACCCATCATAGGGATGCCCATATTTTCCAAGCAAACTTCGCAGATCACAGTTCTGTTTCAGGACCTGTTGGCGAATGTGGTGGACCCATCGCAGACACTTTGGGTTTGGGTCACATCTTTGTTGACCCGCATGGCAGCAGATGGTGAGATCCCAGCGATGCCAACACCAACCTATGGCAAGATCATGTCCTTGGCTGATAAGGCAGCCAGTTGAGTGACTGTTGGGAGCTTGAATTGGCTGAAAATGTGGGATACCCACCAAACGGCAATTTTAAGGGGCGCAATGATTGTCAGCCATCAAATTTTTGGGCGCCGCATTTTCACGCAAATCTACATCTTGGATATTTTAATGGAGACCACAAGGCATTGAAAGGAAGAATGACCTGTCATGAGGAATCCTGAGGAACCCATGCTTTGGCAGGCCTATGGGGGAATCCGAGAGGCGGGCCGGTGAGCGCAGTTGAGCGCGCAGCGCTTCGATGTGTTCGCCGGGATGTCTGGGATGGCATGCGTAACATGTTTTGCAACCGCTGCAACTTCTAAATTTCTGAAGGTGCAAGGGGCAATCTGTGTCCAGCCACCATATGTGTATGTGCAAACCATCGCCATGCTGGTGAATGTCAGGATCTCAGAGAAATCCTGACGTCACTGACGCAGAGTTGGCAACAAGTTACCTTATGCATTCCGCCCTCAAAGCTTTCATGCAAGCCATTTCTGTTTGCTGCCTCCTAATGTTGCTTGTTTGCTCAGGTGAATAACATTGTCACCGCTGTGAGCTTTGGAATGACATTGGGTGTGACTCTATCTGTGGTGCAGGCCTTATCTACCCAGTTATTTTCAGTGTTCTGCGCGTGGAATTCCTTTTTTCAGCGTTCTCGGTAGCGGGTAGCGTACGTTCATGCGGGACCAGCGCCAATCTGAGGCAAAGACCAGCAAGAACGTGAGCGAAGTCATCTCCAAGGATCTGCAGGATCTGTTGGTTCAGTTTATCATGAGCCGCTGGGCGTGGTTTATGATGTGGAATGGTGGCCGCACCAATGGCTGGTTTGCGATTGGGCCACAAAAAAGCACCAATTGCAATGGAGTTGAAGTAAGTTGGATCAGATGATTAGCAAATTTTTCCCACTTACACTTGAGACTTTTGTTTCGGTTTGGTTTGCCCCAGGTACCACTGGACCATTCCTCTATCAGACCTTGTTGGAAGTTGCAGTCTGCATCGCACAGCCCTTTGCAGGCGCGGGTCCCAAAGGTTTAGGAGGAAACCCTGGGCCTTGAAACAGCCTTGATGACAGACTGTAGACTCTGCAGACAGTGTGAGGATGATGAAAGAAACATTTTCAAAAACATATAGTGAGAGGTACAAGATACATTCTGTACCATTCTACCGGGGTTTCGTCAAGACTATCACTGCTGCGCGTCCACATACCATGCGTGGAACAATATGGGACAATACTCATCAGGTACCAGCACTTTGAACAACACAGGTCAAATCTTGGGCTGGCACGACCCCAGAAGAATAAAGACAACTAAGACGTTGCAGAAGGTATCGCGGCAGATCATCAGCCACAAACATCAAAAACCCGAGATGCCGCGGCACGTCATCTGCGACAAGCGAATATACCAAATATATATAAATTGTATATATATATATATAAATACATACAGCATAGACACAATAATGCTAGTAGATGAACGGCGCAAAATAGATGCGACCGAGCCCCTGAGGATAGCACCTGGCAAAGTGCGACATCATAAAAAACAAAAAGCAAAAAAAGGTTGGTGGGAGCCAAACCCCTCAGCCAACCGTCCCCCTGTAACACATTTTACCTATGCCATCAGGAGGCCATGAGAAGAACGACTCTCCCGGTCGAATCCCGACCTGGAAACTTCTGTCGAACTTGAAGAAGGTGCGAGGGGAGACCTTCAGCAATCGTGGAGTATTCCCATGGACATTATACAGCCAACAAGTGGAAGTTGGAGTTAGGTGCACCATTCACACATGCCCAACTTTCATGTACTTTGTCCATCTCTAGGCTGATTTTATTTGATTTCAATCCGTTCAATCCTTCCACCTGTTTCTAATGCAGTCTGGATGGTAGGACCTTGGAGATGCCGACTACATGACCAATCGCCTGCCCTGCTGGGAACAGCCCAAATTCAAGAGCTGAGAGCCGGAGCTATCACAATGCGAAAAGCTGCGGATCCGCCACCGGACCGAAGAAAAAGATACGTTTGACACATCTGACACGGTGCCTGGATCACTGCCCATAATCAAGCAAGAATTGAAGATAATTGAAGAACTTTGAACTTTGATGAACTTTGGTCCATCAACTTCCATCAGGTGAAGCTTTGAACTTTGGGGGCCCAACCCCAACCCCTCATCCAGCAGAAATTCCGCAGGGCTGTGCACGGCTTGGCCACAGGCTTGCTGCAGAAGGTGGGCACCGATGGGATCAAATGGGAGTTTGAATATGTTTTAAAGGGGAAACAATGGGGAAACGACGCGAATATTTTTCGCAAATTTTGGGGTATCCCATCTTCAGACAAATCCTAATATGAATATGGTAGAGATACACAGCGACTATTCCGAAAGCTGTCCAAGGCAACGTTCGAAAATGAAAATCAGAAACATATCAGGGCCCTATAAAGTACTCCCTAAGATGTATATATATATATATAGTGAATCCAAGTGCTCTTGAAATATGATTGGAAGCAAGCTCTCGGAAAGTTCATCAAGCGCTTACATAGCTCTGGAAGAACATAGAAAAGGCTTGGCTGATGCCACAGTGCCCCAGTTCGCCTGGCCTATGCAGCCACAGGTGAAATTCTTCGAGCGTCTTTATCCTTTGGCTCACGTCTTGCTTTTCTCTAGCATGCTTTCTGCAGTGAAGCCCTCAACCGCTTTGGAATCAGTCTCCTCAAGTTTTTGATTGAAACATATTGAAGCACTGCTTGCAGATGCTTGCCCAAGGTCTTTGAATTGACAACACTTTTAAGTCTCATTTTGGTGCATCACTTTCCTACAATGCCTGCCGAGCACTCAGAAACAGCTCTATGGGCTTGTCTCAAAAAGGGGAATAGCGCCATTTTATATGTTTATGATAATTCTTCAAAACACATGACATTTTAATACATTTTAGTCGTTCTCAATTTTGAGACAACCCCACATTTGTGTGAAGAGACAGATCCACTAGAGTAGTTCATGCCAGAGTCTATTGACCCATGAGTATATTGCAGTCTTGCTTGATCTACATGAGATCATTTCCTGAATGTCCATGTTTGACGATGCAGATTTCAAGCTTTTCAAGGATGTCGAAAGCAAAGCGGAGTGCTGTGACTCAAATTGAGGTCCTTTGGATGACATATTGTGGGACCGCTGCTGTGTTGTCTTGTCGGCAGAGTTTGCACCTTGCCTGGGTGTGGTTTTTGGGAGTTCCAGTATCAGTATCACCCTAGCTCCGTCTATATATATATATATATATCATATAGATTTATACAGAACAATATACACACATTGCTATATGTATGCACCCACACCCACAGATATCTATGTTTGGTGGTGTTAGTCACACCAATTGAAAGACATATTATATATATTTATATATACATAGCTCCTTACACACTGTACCTCTCAGCAACACTGGGACTGGAGAACGACTTTTGGTCATTCTTGAAGGAACATCCTCAGGAAAAACCTGCATACAGTATTTGATAATATCCATTTACTGGGCCAGGATCTACAGTCTCAGCTGCGCATGTCTTGTTCCACAGGACTGTGGCGACAGGAGTCCTGTTGGCTTCTGGTGTCAGACTGGATCTCAAGACATCTCCCAGTCGATTGCGTGATTCCAAATCCAATTCTGGATCTGGACGGTGAATTATTGAACATGAATCAACATGATTATTTTGAAGCTTGAGAAAACCGATGAACAACATACGACTTGGAAAGCTTTCAGTACCTTCCACATGTGTGATTTCATGGAATATGCAAATATATATATATATACACAATATATATATACACCACATATAATATATGTATATATATATTGTATATATATACAATATATATATATATACTGTATATATATACAATATATATATATACAATATATATATACAATATATATACCATATATATATACAATATATATATACAATATATATATACAATTTATATATATATATACAATATATATACCATATATATATGTACAATATATGTACAATATATGTACAATATATAATATATATTGTACATAATATATATGTACAATATATATATACAGTATATATATATACTATATACAATATATATATATACTTATACATATACTATATACAATATATATATATACTATATACAATATATATATATACATACAATATATATATATATGTATATACATACAATATATATATATGTATATATAGCCTCGTCCCCGCTTCTGGAACTGCGGACCACCTGAATTAGGTTGGGAAAACTTGTCCATTCCGGGACGAAATTTCGTCCCGGAATTTACAAGTTTCATTTGGGTCATTTTCATCATCCTCATCCTCATCATCATCAACATCATCATCAGCATCATCGTCATCATCATCATCATCATCATCAGCATCACATCATCATCATCATCATCATCATCATGATCATCAGCATCATCATCATCATCATCATCATCATCATCCTCGTCCCCGCTTCTGGAACCGCGCAAACCTGAATTAGGTTGGTAAAACTTGTCCCGTTCACATGAACGTTAACATCCTGCCGCAAGTTCACATGAACGTTAACATCCCACCCCACCCCCCACCCCACCCCGCGTGTGCGTAGCATCAACTGCTGCCGCAAGTTCACATGAACGTTAACATCCCACCCCACCCACCCCACCCCAGTGTGCGTAGCATCAACTGCTGCCGCAAGTTCACATGAACGTTAACATCCCACCCCACCCCACCCCACCCCCCACCCCGCGTGTGCGTAACTGCTGCCGCAGTTCCAGAAGCCAGGACAAGCCTATATATACATACAATATATATATATCCATATATGATACGTACTGTATATGTGTACGTATACAAATATATATATATACTATATACATTATATCTATATTTTTCCAGCCCAAGGACCAATGCATTGCATGACTGTCTCATTGGGGCGAGCTGAGGTCTTTGGACCATCTGGAGAATCACTAGTCCTCGAGAAGACCTTGAGGCGACAGCCGAGACTTCCATCATGCCGGGTGTTTTTTGACGGCTGGCTTCAGTCCGGTGTGAAATAGGATAACTATGGATAACTAGATTAACTAGGAAGGTATATACCTACTTTAAGGATCTTTAAGGTTTGACCCATACTACTTTGAAGTTTTTGCAAGGAGGTGTTTGGATAACGCGCCTCACAGGATGTGGAGCCTACTGGGTTAAGTCCTGTTCGTCGCAGATCTTCGAGAAGGTTTTCGGAAGTCAGGCCGGCCGTGAAGTCCCAATCAGCTTCAAGTCCAGATTATCCAGCTTCCCAGAACATGCAGAAACCATTTTGAATCTGTAAACATGAAATGGCTAAAGACACATTTGCGATCATTCACTCATCAATTTTCATAATTCAGCATAGAATTTCGCATGATTCAGCGTAGGTGAGACGTTCATATATCTTTCATACATGGTTATACAGTTCATATATGGCATAGTTCATATAATTATATAGTTATTATAGTTCAAAAATGGTTGGTATATGGTTGATATATAGTTCATATAATGCATATAATTCATAAAATCGACGTAGTCGAAATATTTCACATATGTCAAGTTTATTTCTTATCATTCTGTTGACCTGAAGATTTTGCTATCCAGAAACATCCCCAATATTCGCGTTGATATCCCATCAGAGTCATCAGATCTTCATATGGGGACACCAGATTTCCCGCGCCAGCTCTCATCGCCTCAACACGTCCGAGCCCTGAAGTCTTGTGTCGCGAGGTGTGAGCACCGGAGATCACAAGTGTTAACCATTGGCAAAACGCATACTTGTGTATAGAAAGATACATTGTATATATATATATAATTTTGTATGTAGAATTCTGTTGTGTTCAAACACTTCTTAGAGATGATCTTACGCATTGAACAGGATCAAAAACAGCCCCCCCCAACGGACTCTTCCAGTATCAGCATCACGTCAGCAAGAACCAGGGACACGGTGTCCCAACAAGAGACACTGTGCTGAGGACCGAACGTTTGCACCAGCTTTCCGAACCGTTGCTGGCAACGGCTGACTGGGAAGAGCCACATGCTGAGCTGCATGAATCCATCACTCTCCATCATTACCCATCACTATCCATTACTATGTGGATTTATGTCGGAAAATGGGAATGTACCACCCCAAATGGCCAATCTTTCATGGGGAACATGATGAGAAAAACTCGTGGATTTCGGGGCTAAAGCCATGGCTTTCCATGGCTTTCCGCCAAGGCCAGAAGCCGAAAGTCGCTGGGGAATGCTGCAGAGATGGGCAGAAAAGTTGCCCGGCTTTCGGAAGAAAAGTTGGGCGAGCGCTTCCCATGGCCTGGAGATCGATGAATTGGCTGTTGGCTGAAGTATTTTTGCAAAACCATCCAAGAAGATCAAGAAGATGCAGATGCCATGCTGTTCAGGTCAGAGAGTGGTACTTTGTTTTTTGTTACAGCAGCCATTGACTTATTTGGTGTGGAGTAGATGCGTTGCAACTGCGCACCTATTTGTTTGATGTCATTGGAGTTGTGGGATGTTCGTGTGCGGTACATTCGAATCTCGAGATGCTTAGCTTCATAGCCTCAAAGTCCATGAAAGCATGAAGGCAAAAAAGAACCCATAGGCTGCAACAGATACACCCAATGGTGAGGATGTTGCAAAGATGGATGAATCTCCCAAGAACGAGCATCGCAGCATCGCCTGTGAGAAACACTTAAATAGAACGGTCCACTGTGAAATGTTTGGCGGCAATGCCGAGAACTTGTCTAGGCCAGGACCTTGGACGGCGGAAACCCACGGCCATAAACTGATACTCTGACGGCTGCAAAAAGTACTGAGGATGGCTCTTTCTGGTTGCAGCACTTGCAAAGTTCAAGGACCTTTGGGGCAAACAGCCATCAATGGATCAATGGATGCAACATTATCCAACAAAAAACAGTGGCAGATTATTACTCCTTGATTCTCAAGTCAATAAATCATATCACTAATATCAATCATTATTAATCAATTCAGTCCCTGCAAGAATTTGGATCAGCGAGTCTTTCTCCAGGAGCCGAACTGCAAGAAGTATCCTCAACTTTGCGCGGATACGTTCAGAGCCTAGATGGGCTGTACGTCCTGTGTGTCCTTGATCCTGATGCCATGGAGGAGATGAAACATGACTCTCTATGTTTTAAGCTATATTATGTGTTGCTCCTTGGTGGAAGTGATGGCATCGCTTTCATCCAAACTTCATCGACAAGTTATCAGAACATCCTCCAGTGATTGAGACATCCCCAAAATTATTCCACGTTCTGGACGTCCTGTCATTTTTATTCATTCTTGGTATTCCTATCGGGAGCTTCCTGGCAAATTTTGGCCCCATGAACCAATAAGGTCAGGCTATGTTGTGGTGCTTGATGCTGGAAGCACAGGGACACGAGTCCATGCGCCTTGGCAGCCATTCCGCTAGGGCCCCGTAGGGGCGGGGCTGCCATCCCCTGGTGCAGGTCTTCAACTACGAGTACCGCAAGCTTGAGACGCGTCGCTTTCCGCTGATTGTGAGCCCGCCCTTGACTCTACCAACAGGTGCCGGTTGAGAGATTTGGTACCCGTTGGTACCTGTAGAACGAAGAGTTCCTCACAGCGCGGTCCGTGCTTGCCAAATTAGAGTCTTGTTGCCTGGGACACTGCCTGGCCAGAAATCGCCACAGCTGCCAACAAGCCTGGGCTTTCATCTTTCGTGCACCAGACCGAAGGCATCCCAAGGCTAGCTTGACGCGCCAGACATGGATGAGATCGGGTTGTACTGGGACGAGTTAGCAGCATCCACAGGATATTTCAGAACCAACTCTACTCTATTTGTTTTTGCTTGGACATGCTTGGACATAAAAACCACTGGTAGGTTGGGCTACCACTTCAACGTTTCAACATGTTTCAACTGTGCTAACCTCAAGACGAAGAAGAAGAAGAAGAGGAAGTGGAAAGATCCTTTCAGAATTAATAGGAGTTGTCTCCAATAGCGTTCCTTAGCCCATTCTCAGCGTCTCAGCTGAGCGCAGGAAGCTGGATGAGCTGCTGAGACACGCTGCAGATGACGCTTTGCTGCAGTGGTCGTGAACGCTTCTATTGTTCAGTGTTTTGTACTTACATAATCTACATATTTGAATTTGTAGATGATGTTAAATTATATTTGTATAAAATCAAACAAAACGATCAGCACATCCGTATTTATAATTACTAGTATATATTAGTTGAATACATACACATCCTGTAGACATGTTTGGATGCGTTTCCATCATTTCGTCCAGGCAACGCTATTTTTATCGCAAAACGTCGCGCATGTCAAGCCAAAAGCTGCGAGGCCTTGCTACTCCACAATCCAGACGTTGAGCTGAAGCAGGCCTGCAAGGGGCGCAATTCACTGACCAGAAACAGCGGGAAAAAACACAGTATCACTACTCATAATTATAATGGCAAGGCTGGTCTCACCCAAAGAACGATCCAAATAGATCTGACATTTATTGGATTTTATTGGTATCATATATATATATATAATATATATATATTCATATATCGTATCATAGTTTATCCACTGAAAGTTGAAGCGTTTGAAAACTGCTTTGCTGGTTGGACTCCGATGGCCACTTGGTCAAAGCCTCAGGTGCCGCTATACCTGGGTGCTACGGCAGGGCTTCGTGAACTGCATGACCGGGACAGGGACGAGGCAGGAGGAGAGAGCAGAGAGCCCCACCCGATCCACCCGGAACCATTTGGAAACCTCCGAAGTCTCATGGTGTGTGAAGATGTGTGAAGTACATCACATGTGCCAAAAGATTAAAATTTGGCAAAACTTCCATGAATCAGATGGGATCAGATTGACATATGAGTGGTGCTTTCGGAAGGGTCGTATTGTGCTTTGCAAGGCAGCACCTTCTTCCCTTGCTCCAAATTTGTGTAGGTGATGGCAGCAACGCGTGAGCATTTGCGGAAGCAGAGCGTTTTCGCAGTCACTCGTGATGAACAGGCCCAGCACACCGATTTCGAAAGTTGTTGCAGTGAGTAATCAGCAAATGTCAACTGCAGCAGATTTTCGCCTGAAATTGCTGAAGATTTTGAATTTTGTGCTTCTGCTGGCGCTACTGTAAGTTGTTCTTGACACCTGCAGCCAGTGTGACATTCCTTGTGCAGGTGCGAGTTCTCTCTGGTGAAGAAGAGGGTGCCTTTGGATGGCTTGCTCTTAACCAGCTGCAGGCACCGTCCTAAAGGGCTCTTTGAATTGTGAGATGCTCATCCATCTTATTGAAAATAATCTCTTTTCCCAAAGTCTGGTTGCACCACTAATGTTAGCTAGGTAGCACAATCATCCACAATTTGCAGGATGTTTACGGATGTGTGATGTTTATGATGTTTATTAATGTTTATTATTATTTATTACAGTATATTACAGTATTTGTTTATTCCGTTATTCCTTTCATCTTTCATCGTTTCTGTGTTTTCCATGACCCCGAGGCCGAGATCAGTCCAGATCCCCACACCACTTTTGGTGCCTTGGACTTCGGTGGCGCATCCATGCAGATCGCCTTTGTGCCGCACGAGACCTCCATCTTGGCCGGGATCTTTCCGATGCACTTCGGTGGAAGCGTCCAGGGTCCCATCCACTTGTACTCGCACAGGCCAGGATGGCCAGGATTCATCCAGGATGGCCAGGATGGCCTTAGTGGAAAGGTTGAAGAATGTTGAAGATTTGAAGCATTCTGAAGATACCTGAAGTGTTTTTTGAGTGGATAATATGTGGATCATCACATTGTCACATATTGTATCATATTGTCACATTTCAGAAATCACATATGGACATGCTCGCTGTAGTGTGGCTTTCTAAATGTCTTCCCTGATTATTCGAGGTGAAGAAAAACATGGAATGGCTACCTGATCCCACTCTGACCAAAGCACTCCAAAGCCTCAGGTCATATGTCTCAACTGGTCTCAAACAACATTTGTCACAAGATCAAAAGATCATAAAAGATCTCATTCCAACCACTGGCGATATCTGGTGATCTTTCTATATCTTTCTGCATCACTTCCCTACGTGCGTCGCAATGCGTCGCAGCTTCAACGGCTTCGGGAAAGTGGTGGCCTTCCAACGCGCCACCCGTGTCCTGTTGTTGGCCTCTCAGACTGTCCAGAGCTGTGACCGCGACCGTGACCGCGACCAGCCATACTTGGAATCCCTTGGCAATTATGTATGTATATATACATATTTTATTTTATACATGACATATACATGACAATTAGATCCAATCAATATAAATATAATTAGATGCAATTGATGCTCAACTACTATACTCTCGAAATATTCTTGGACTCTCCTGTTGATCTTCAAGACTATTGAGCCGGTTGCGTGCCCATTGTAGGTCCGGCCAGGGCCAGAAGAAGCCGCAGGTGCGGGCCATGAATCATGCTCTGTCAGAGCCATATGTCTCCCACAACGCTTTTCCTTGGATGTTCAAATCTATGTACTCAGATGATCAGATGTGTTGATTTACATTGTGACTATGATGATTTTGATGATTATCATATCATATCATATCATATTAAAATATATTATATGGCTATATATTATGAAAAACCTCTCAAACCTCTGTATAATGCATTCAATACAAACAATACATATGTTTGATCATTTTCTGGTTGATTCAGTTCGCAGAGGGAACAGTCAACCCGACCTGGCGAAATGTCATAGGAAGTGAAGCACCCGTGCATGCCTACTGGACTGACATGGCACGTTGGAAATCTCAGTGGTTTCCTACAGCTCCCGCGGTGATTTGTGATATTTGTGAGGGGGACACATGTCGGGGGTTGCGAAGGCCCTATTCATTCCTATTCTCGTGTGCTCAGGTTGATTTCAATGACTTTGGAGAGTCTCGGTTGCAAGACGATGCAGGTCAAACTGTTGATTGGATCATTTAATGAGTTTGGCTTGAGGGTACGACCCGAACCAACGCTTCCAATTGATCTGGAATGAGTTGTACTCATCACTCAGAACTCGAATTGACCAGCTCTTAGATTCTCCAAGCATTGCCACTGGCATGCCTTGAAGCATGATAATATTGAAGCTTGATGCTGTTTGAGGGCGTGTCACAGCAGCTTGCAATCCCATTTCAATCTCCAGTGTTTTGTGGAGCTGAGGTGAGTATTAACAAGTCAAACCCGGAACGAGCTGAGGGCCCGCTAAAGTTGGGGGCTTGAATGATTGCTGTTTGTGCGATCATCTTTTTCCCCCCTAGTTAAACTATGTTAAGCTGCCATATTACATCATTATTACATCATACGAGATTCGTCATGCCCTTATTATAGGTGTTTTTTTCTTAACATGTCCGGCTGCCCAATAAATGAAGAGCCACCGTGGTGGATGGTTTTTACGACCGAGGTTGGTGGGCACTGGAGACTTTGATGGGTGCTACGCATTGACCACACCCCTCTTTGACAAGGACACTTGGTGGCGACAGGTAAACGTTGCGGTGAAGAGCCACTGAAGTTCGAAACAGGAACATAAAGGATGGAAAAAATATGAAAAATTGATGAATATCACATATAATACATCTAACATATTCTAACATCATCCGATAGGATAGCTTTCAGTTCTTCCTCTTGCGAAGCTTTAGAATCCTGAACACATAGCTTGTGCCTGATGGGTTGTGCCAGGACACTGAGTGCTTCTTGCCGCCTTGCTCTATGATGGGCGTCTACCAGCCGGCTTTGAACGGGACCGGCATGGCAAGCTGCGCATATCCAACCAGTGAGACCCACTTGTGAGTGATGGCGTAGAAATCGGTCAGTTCCGTTCTGTTTTCTTTGAACTTTCCAGATTACTCCGACAATTCAAAGCAGTTGAGGACTTCAATCATGTTTCTCCCCAAAAGGGCCAGAGTGCAAAAAGGATCACGCGTTCGCTGCATTCACTCCAATGGCCATGGTCATGGCCCATCATGGTCCCATAGGGATACCCAACGGATTGGTATGGTGACCATCGTGCTTGCACCAGGACCAAGTTCGTCCTGTTTGGCCAGTACGCTCGTCTCAAGCAGTGGGAGGTGAGCATTTGCGTTGTCCTTGTTGCATCTGCGTTCAATGTCACTTAGATCACTTAGACTCAAGTGCAGTACATGCAGTCGAAGTGCCTAGGTTCCATCCACTCCCACTTTTTCTATCATCTCGTATCACCCAACTTCCAGTTTGCAGATTGCCTTTTTTGCCAAACATGTCTCCTCTGACGTAGTATTTTCTTGATGGGCTAGCAATCTACTCCAAGCTAAGCAGCTTCAATGGCACAAGCGTTTCCAAAGCTCTGGGTGAGAGGGTTGGTGGGGATTTGCAAGCCTTACGTAAAGTCTTAGAACCATAGAAGTTCAAGTATTCAGAACCAGAGATATTGAGCGAGTTTTGGTGTTCCAATGAACATAATCAATCATCATATATCTAACATACATATGTATATATATATTTGTATACACATATATATATATATCCAGGTCTTCAGTGGGACTAGGAGTTGGGGAAGGCAAGCTGTAAATCAGCTTCGAAGTCGCTACCGAGCATTGCCGCCGGAGGTGCTTCCGCTGCTGCAGAAGGCCTTGGTGATGGATTGATGGATTCAGCAACCACAGTTGGTCCATGTTGGTCGCTGGCAGGGCGTGCCGTTGCTGAAAGCCTTGCAGATTCAGCTGCCGCGCTTGTGTTCTTTGCCGTTGGAGACGCAGGTGGGGTACCCGGCATTGGATCAGGCGGACCACATGGGACCACTGGGCACTTCCAGATCCACCCAGGTTGAACTTTTTGGCGGCTCCTCCATGAGGTTCGGCAATGGGAGTGCCTGTTATGGGACCGGCTCATGATGCTCTGCCGGTATGTCAAGATCTGTCAAGGTGAGTTAGATTCCAGAAGATTGTACGGATCTTCCATGATGTTCTATGATGTTCCTATATCATTCTATCTATATTGATATGTAATATATATATATATATATTATATTATACTATATTATATTATATTATACTATACTATATTATATTATATTATATTATATTATATTATTGACTATATATTATACATTATATATTACATATTATAGTTGAAATATACCGACCCCTGAGCCCCACCATGTATAGCATAGGTAGTAGGTCCAGTGTAGGTAGTTATGCCTTAGCTATGAGTCCAACACACCAATTAGCTATTCCAATCATGTACAGAATAGCACCCCTTATCTAGAAGCGGTAGATAAGGAGAGTAGCCCTAGGTAGAGCTAGATACTTTCCCCTTCACCCTAACAACCACCTGGGTAAAGGGGTATAATTAAGTATGCTATCGACCCTATGGCTCAAGTGCACAAAAGTGTGCTTGCGGTTCTACTTGTTTTGTTTATGGTAAAGGGTTGTGGTAGGAACATCTTTGGTTCGACCCCCCTTTTGTCTGGTTATCAGCCGTAAGGCTTGTTTTTCCTGTTTGTTTCGCCTTTTGGGGTTTTATTCCTACCACAACTGGTCTAGGCCCCCGGTTTCGCTTCGCTCACTGTCTGTCATTGTTGCATGCCTGCAGAAGGGTCGGACGAAGTCGCTGACGATTACGTCGCGACGGAAACGCCAGCAGACGGATCCGAAGCGGCTGGTGAAGCAGAAGGTGTTGAAGAAAATCTTCCATCGACTGTTGAGCCGGTAGCTGAGGAGTCCAGAAACTGGGCCGATCTTTCTGAGGGGTCCACCGCGCCCGCGCCTTCTGGAGAACTTGAATTGACCCAGGTCAAGGAAGAGGTTCAAGAGGCCGAGTCGCTCAACGCGGTCCTTTCTGCAATTGGTGTTCCGGAGGTGGTCGCTGACGAGCCTGTCGCGACAGAGGGTGAGCTTGGACATTCGACTTCTGATCAAACATTTTTGGAGGTTCCCACAGACTTGGACAATCCAGCTGAGGCAGCTTTCACGGACCTTGATCAAGCTAAGGAGGAGGACGTTCAACCTGATCTTCAAGAATCACCTTCAGAGCACGTAGACATCGGAGTTGAAGAAACTGATCATCAAGCTGAAACAACAGATCTTTTAGGTTTAGGTGGCGAGGCGGGTCCAGTAGGAGAAGCATCCGTTGCATCCGAACCATCTGCATCCGTGCCTGAGCCTGCGGTCGCTGACACATCCGGTGTCGCGACAGAAGCCAACACTAGTTGCCCCGATCAAATAGTCCCACCACCAACTAGCCCTAATCTTGTTGACCCAGGTGCCGATCCTATCCAAGTAGGACATTCCCCCGCTAGTTCATCAACAGCCCATCGACCAAGGGTTCGATCCAGCAGGGGCGGTGCTACAACTAGGTGGCAAGAAGCAAAGCGAGCTTGGTGGAACGACTTCGAGGCATACCAAAATTGGCTTTACCATAACTCCGGAGGGGATATCGTAGGTGGCTTTTGGTTAAGAAAGATTTCTTACGAATACGCCGACGAAAGCACTCGCTGGTTGATAGCTCTTCATTCAAGACTTGTTGAGGAGTTCCCAACATCACAGTGTTTAGCTTTGGCCTACCAGATCCTCATCCCTTACAAAGAGTGGGCTCACATCTACGGTTTGGACAGGCGCAGAGGTACTTCACACGCCGAACAAGTGATAAACTCTGGTGAACTACCCCCAAAAAGGATCATTAACCAACGTATCCTAGGGGCAGAGCACCCGCGCCCAGAAGAGTGGGATAGGTATTATAGATACATAGGCCCACAGCAGCAACCCCGTCCAAAAGCGGTAAGGCCTGCTGCCGCAACACCCGTTGCTGGCGCGGCAAGTGGAGGCACAGATCCGACTCCGGTCCAGCAAGGACCCAAAGAGCCTGGGCACCCACCGCCGAACTGGCAACCTTCTTTGAGAAGGCCACCTGAGCCAGCAGTGCCACCGCGTCCAAGGGTTACTGTCTCTGTCCATCCAGTCCCACAAGCCCCAAAGTCAGATTCTCAAGGGGTCGCTGCCTTTGGGCGCGACGTAGCACCAGTCCCAGTTGCTAGCCCTGCGAAGCCACCAGCTAAAGCTAGGCCCAAAGCTCCTGATTCTAGTGCCACAACCCTTGCAGATAGAATTCAAGGTTTGCCACCTCCACCTAATAACATTCCCCCTAGTCCGCCTGCTCATAAACAACCACCCTTACCACCACCACCATCTCATCCGCCGCCAACTGCACAGGAGCTCGCTGCCCACAGTTCCCAACCAGCAGAGGCGCGAGAAGAGACTGCTCCGGAGGATCCCAACGATCCACCGCCTGAAGAGGAGCAGTGGGAGGAGGAGGAGGAGGAGGAAGAGGAAGTTTTGGAGGAGGACGAAGTGGTTGAAGTTGAGGTTGAGGCCGAAGCTGAACCCGAATTCCCTGACTTCACAACAACAGAGCACGGCCGTGAGGTTTCCACGCGCCGTCGTAGGCCTAAAAGAACTAGGTCCAATCCGCCATTGCCTGTCAATCTAGTCCCAAGGGAAACCCGTGAACGAATCGAACTTAATCAAGAACTTTATAGAGCCCGTGCCATAACCGGTGTTTCTAGAAGACCTCTTGCTTTAAGACCCCAAGTGCACGGTTACCCCGAAATTAGAATTGACTCCGCTGGCACCTGGGCTAGGGTCGCTGATCCTCCGATCGCGTACGCGCCGCAGACTTTGCCGTTTATTGTTCCTCACGCCGAGGCACCAGAGCTTGGGGTCAACCCACACGAGCTTCCCGACTCGTTGTGGCGTGATCCTGCACTTAGATCCCATCGGACTGTTCTTGGTTCAAGTAATTTAGACCCCAATAGTGTCTATAATATTTCCACCAATAACCCCGATACCGAATCTGAGGGCTCTGAAACAGCTGAGACTCGAACCGCCAGGTTTGTTTCATCAGGTCAGGCATTTGTCGGCCAGCAAGAACCGTTCGACGCTGGCTTCGCTGAGCGCACCCCTGCCCGTCCAATTGAGTCTCCACCAAAGAGACAGCGTCCTAACATAAGAACCTCTCGAATCCAACGTGATAAGCCGGCACAGCCCAGAAAAGATCCAGTTTCTGCTGCACCAACACCACCTGCAGCCCCTACAGTACCATCTTTGACTGTTCCCCCATTAAGCAGTTCTAGTAGTTCAGCTTATCCTCCCTGGAGGCAGTCTTTGCAAAGTGCTGGAACTGGGGTCGCTGACACAGCCCGTGTCGCGACAGAGACTGCATCAGAGCCAGCCGGCTCTCCCGTTGCGCGATCCAGATCAAGAGCACCCTCAGCCGAGACTGCGCCCGCAGTTGCTGCCAGAACATCAAGGGGAAGGGAAGTACCAATTTCAAATAAGATTTCATCTAAGTCTCGCAAAAGAGCTAGTTCCGTTCCTGTGCCAATCCGTGCAAAGGGGGCTGCTGTCCCCGACACGCCCCAAAGGCCAGAACCCTTGCCACCAGCTCCAGAGCCTAAGAAGAATCTGCCTTGGAAACATCCACCTGTGACAATTGCACCTGCGGCACCTGCTGCACCTGCTGCACCCGTGGTAATTCCCCCAAGACCTAATAGGCCTGTTCCCCCTAATCCAGCTAATCTCAAGCCCGTAAAACCTCCTCCGCCAGGAATCGAGAGGGCAAGACCTGCTGGCCAACCGTCCCGAGATCCACCTCCACTTGATCCCGAAGGACAACAGCAACAGCAAGAGGCACCAAGCTCAGGATCTGGCCTTGC